AGAGAGAGAGAGAGAGAGAGAGAGAGAGAGAGAGAGAGAGAGAGAGAGAGAGTTTTGTTCCACTTATTGTTATGAGTGTGTGAGAGAGAGAGGGGGGGAGAGAGAGAGAGTTTTGTTCATTTCTTTTTGGGGTCCGCTTCCACTCGAGGACCGGTCCAACGCCCCCCACTTCTTTTCGGGCTCCGCTTCCCGCCAAAGACGAGTCCTTCCTTTTTCCAAAAGTCCCGGTTCTACTAAAGTTAGTTGTAGGTAGTCCACAATTTTGCCCAGGACCGGTCCCCTAAATATTTTTGGAAAAAGTTATAGAAGTTCCCCGCCGCGAAACCTTTGTATCCATATCTCCCCAAAATGGACTTGCTGCATTTGAGGTTCCCCAATAACTTTTTTGTAATTCTTGCTCCCCGGTAGGGCCTCAGACCGGGCCTGAGGCCGCGGAAGCTGATAAGCTTGGCTCTTTTCGAAGTTTCCGTTCGTCCTGCGACACACTTGCATTTTCTTGGATGTATCTTTCTCGAATCAGGCCCAGGGAGGTGAAGACCCAAGTAACTCCGGCCGTACTGGGCCGGTAACGCCCGCAATGCAAAAATGACGGGAAGTCATTTTCGGACCTGCTGCACACTTGCACTTTCTTGGATGCATTTTCTTTGACGTATCTTTCTCGAATAGGGCCGAGGTGAGGTGAAGGCCCAAGTACCTCTGGCCCAGTACAGCCTGCTATGCAAAAATGGCGGGAAGTCATTTTTGGACCTGCGACACACTTGCACTTTCTTGGATGTACTTTCTTGAATCGGACCCAGGTGAGGTGAAGGAAGTGCGGACGCGAGTATGCTATGCCCATTCGAATGTACCGCACCCGAATATCGCCCACGTACAATTGGGTTGGCTGGCGGCTGGAAATTCGAAGTGACTACCGGAACGGAAACTTGAGCCTTGGTTATCAAGCTGTCGTGGCCTCAGCCCCGGTCTGAGGCCCTACCAGCCTCAGATGCAAGAATTACAGAAAAGTTAATGGGGGACCTCAAATGCAGCAAGTCCATTTTGGGGAGATATGGATACAAAGGTTTTGCGGCGGGGAGCTTCTATAACTTTTCTCAGTGTTTTTGCCCCTTAAGAACCCACTTTATGTCCTGGTCGCCCGCCTCCAAAAATGTGACACCTTGACCCATACGCCGAAGCCCACTATACCACACCCTTAGGGCTGCGAACATTTTGAATGCATCTGCACACCGTTTTTTTTTTGATGCATTCAAATTGTCTACCACGTGGGCGCGGGGAATGCAACCCTAAGGTAGCCAAAGCAATGAGACTAAGAGCGCGCACAAGAGAGAGAGAGGGGAGGGGGGGGGTGTAGCGGACCCACCAGGTGTGGTGCTCCGCAAGTGGTAGAGATGGAGATGGAGGAAGAAGGGGGGAGTGAGATGGCATAATGCAACTCCCCACGCAAGACTATAACGCACGTACTCCAAAAATGTGCAAGTGAAGAATGAGGACGAAACAGACAACTGCTGGGGTATACCCCAGCGGACTGACTGGACTGGACTGGACTGGCTGGTACCGACAGAGGTACCGG